ATTGAATCTCTCGAGTTATCGGGCTGTCCCGAGCATCGCGGCTATAATAACACACTTAGGCGACGGGCAAATCGATTAACCCAAGCGTGAATAATTCCTACGACGGCACTCGCGAATGAATTATTTGGCGCGCGCGCGCGCGCGTCCCGCTTACGTCGTTATAATTGGACACGTGTAATACTCACGGCTCATATTAGACGATTGATCCGCCGCGCCCCGCGAACCCACCCTTCCTAACGTGCTACCTCTTTACGCAAGCCGACGTGATTACGCCTCTCGCGCCCCGATGGGAGTTATCATCCTTTGCGGTCTCGTGTCGCCCACGTTGCCCTGTATTTTCCTTCAACAGTGTCTGCACCGTTGCGTATATCACGTCGTCAGAAGGCTGCGCATTAACAAGACTGGCTAACACAGGCACACAGTACTATAATAACAAGGGTATTAATAAATAAAAGAGTCGTAGTGATCGGATATCGTAGATTGGTGGAAGGAACGCGCCCTCGAGGGTTGTGCAGAAATAAAGTCACGATGTACACGAGTATCGCGTCGAAGGCTCGCTCATTCACAGGATCGCGCTAACAGCATCGCGTAACTGAGGACATATTGCCCATAAGCGAAAAAATAATGAAAGGATTATGGAAATAATCACATATTAAATTGGTCTATATTCCGTTTAAAAGCGACTGCAGAAGTTTGATGGTAATTCAGAGCCTGGATCAAAAGTTATTCCACTTCAAAGGAAGTTGCGAAGTGAAATGAGTTTGATGAGACTTCGATCGAAAATTTACATTACGTACTTACATTACGTATATATTGAAATATTATCCGACACATTTCTCGTGTAATTAGAGAAGGATTGGCCATTTGGAAGCTGAGATATTCGCAACTAAAGATGACACTTTTTACATGCATCCCTTGAGAGAATAGCGTGGTGTTTTTAGTTTCTACTTTTAATATCTTTTAAACTATATGAATAAGATTTTAAGAAAAAAACTCATCATGGTATTAGAGACTAATATGCAGACATGATACACAAATTTCAGAATTAGTGAGAATTTTCTTCTGAAAATACAGCAATGCAAAGTTCATAATTTATATGAAAATACGGCACTGATTGGCAATACATCCCTTAATCTCCGTCCGAGTGTTGGCGTATAAAATTAAAGTGAATGAGAGAGGGTGCGCCTTGAGGCGGCGTGTGAAACAAAGCGCGGCAGAAGCGGAGAAGCCGGATAAATAAACGGAGCGCGCGACTTAACTTCGTACTCGCGCGCGGCCGCTCACGGTGTAAATTCGTAGCGTTAATTAATCACGAGGAAGCGATGAAAGCCGAAGCGCGTCGCCTCCCCCACCGATGAAGCGGTGCCCGATAAGCTCGTGAATTAAGAACTCCCGTGGTGGCCAAGATTTATCGATACACGATGAATCGAATAATGGCAGCGATCGGCGGCGAGAAAACGCAAGCCAAGGAACGCGATTAGTCTCGCTGTCCCGCACGGTCGTTCCAGGTTGAAACGAGAATCCATCACGCGGACATATTGGATTTGAGAGAGGATCGAAAGCTCGTTTCCTGCAGGCGCATACTATCCATCCGCGCGCATGTTCTGCCATATATATATATATATATATGTATGTATATTGCGCGATAATATTCTTGGCGAGAATAATCTTGTCGTATCAACGGTGATCGATCCAATAATCCTTCCAAAAATCGCCTCCGTTATAAATTACGGCCGTTACTAAGACGTCATTGGAATGGAGCTTCGCCGGACGTGCGTTTGACGAAAAGCCAAAGCCGTAATAAAATAAAGCTCGCACGAAGTCGTAAAAATGTCAGGAGCGAGGAGGAGGACGCTCGAAATATCGCGGCACGATATGCGCGCATATACGGGCCTAAAACCGGATGCAGAGAAGGATGAGCGACTATACTTTCGACTTATCGCAATTCGCCGATGCTGAGAGCCAGCGTTGTGTACGAATAGCTATATCAGTATATCCGTTACCTCTCTCTCTTTCTCCCCACCCACGTATATCCTCATTTTTCAAGAACTTCGAATACGATATCGAGCCACTCCTCTCTGCCCCCCCCCCCCCCCC